AGTTTTATACACGTGCATGTTTACGTTTGTTATACTCTTATAACTTATTACATTTAGCCCGATAATTTACTCTTACGAAATACTCTTATCCTGGAAATTTCAAAACAAGCGGTTCTATTATTTGATATCGTAAGTTATATTGATGAATTGTATTTTTTATGCATTTACTATTAATTTAGTTACAAATTCATTTAACTAATACCGAAATAAGAATCATAGCTGCCGAGATCTCAAATGATGTCTCCCATGTATCTGTTACCCCTTAGAAAACTTGAAATAGGAACCAGCTCTAGTTTGCGCTATTTCCGAAGTCCGTTATTAAGATGAAGTTTTCAACAATATTGATGTTGTTTAACTTTTTATTATTTCTTCTGATGAAAAATGTCAACACTCACTTCGATTCGTCCAACTCGGGTTACTCGAGTTAAATTTTTAGGTTTGATTGCGCATGCGTCAAGAGCAAATCAATCGAATCAAAAACTCGGGTGGAGAGTTACTCGAGGTCCATTGTTTACCTTAACAACATGGATGAATTTACGATACTAACCCATATTTTTAGTGATGATGAACAAACGATGGCAATTCAGTATATAATTGATTCTAACCAAATCTTAATACAATTATTGACAACTTTGTTGCCCAGGGACCATGATTTTGACAATAACAGTTAACAGCTAAAAAAATATTCACAATAGCCGATAACAATGAATAATTTAATTTTGGATGTAACGCGTCTTCTGATTGGCTGACGTTGTTTTGTTTATCAGCTCATAGACATAATTTTGTCATGTGACCGTGACGTCATCAACGTTTTTTCATGGTTTACTCCGGTTTAAAATGGAATTTAGAATTAAATTATAAGAAATGACTGTAATATGTTTTCTGTCTATTCGAAATAACATAAAAAATGTGGTGCACACTTTAAAATAACCCGCTACGCGGGTTATTCAGTGTGCACCACATTTTTGATGTTATTTCTTCATAGACAGAAAAAATATTACAGTCATTCCTTAAATAAAAAACGCCCAGAACACAAGAACAGTAAACGTCACCTTGCCCTCCCCCCTCAGAAAAGTATAACGGAGGTACACATGTGTATATTTTAGCAAATATTTACAATTAATGGACATTGATGTAATGCAATAGATATATATTGTGCTGTTTTAATGTGACTATTGTAATTGAACACTTAAACTTCTATTTCGTCACATAAAATGGCTGAAAAACGGTTAAATCGTAAAAAATATATTTTCGAAAAGCACTCACGTCTCTTTCGTCGCCATCTTGCCGTTGAACTCGACTCGATTAAACCTGGTCAGGGGCAGGGTTGGTATCGAGTTAACTCGAGGGTTGTAAAATGATAAAACTCGGATACTTCGGTTGCAACTCGAGTAACTCGGGTTACCCGAGTTGGACGAATCGAAGTAGGCCAATTTGGTAAAAAGATTTGCCTGGTTACCAATCATGCATATCGGTACAGCACAGGTAACACTTCTATATATTATCTGCTGTTTTTAAGTCTGGTGATCCAAGTAAAAGAGATAATTATCGTGGCATTGCCATTAATTCTTGTGTTGGTAAATTATTTAACTCTGTTTTGAATAACAGACTAGATCATTTTTTGGTAAAAGAATCATTGATTAATCCATGTCAAATTGGATTTTCAAAAAAATGTAGACCATCTGATCATGTTTTTGTTTTAAAAACCATTATTGATAAATATATTAGTAAAAAGGGGGTAAACTATTTGCCTGTTTTGTAGATTTTAAACAGGCTTTTGATAAAGTGATTCATGAGGGTATCAGATATAAGCTATTAACAAACAATATTACTGGAAAGTTTTATTCTATCATTAAAGATATGTATAATAAAAGTGACCTATGTGTTAAAATTGATAATGAAATGACCCCATGTTTTAAATCATTTATAGGGGTTAGACAAGGTGATGTTTTAAGCCCAAATATTTTCAAAATATTTATTAATGATCTACCTGACAAGTTTCTGTCATGTCCTGATCCAGTAAATATTAATAACCGTAGAGTAGATTGTCTTATGTATGCTGATGATGTCGTAACTTTTTTCAGAAACACAGGAAGGTTTGCAAAAGAGAATTAATATGTTACATGAATATTGTTTAGAATGGTGTTTTGATGTTAATCTAAAAAAGACAAAAAGTATAATTTTTAACAAGCCAGGAAATTTTTTAAAATGCTGTTTACATTTTGGAGGTAAAGAGATACAATGTGCAAAATTATATTGATATCTTGGAATCATACTTACATCTAGTGGTATATTCAAGCAGTGTAAAGATGAATTATACAACAAATCTTTAAAAGCATGTTTTAAGCTACAGAGATGCTTGTCATCATCTAACCCTAGTGTTGCCACTCTTTTACATCTTTATGATCATATAATTAAACCCATACTATTACATGGCAGTGAAATATGGGGAATGTTTCGTACTGATTCAGCTGCTTGTAAAAATGATAATGATTATATATTGGAAAAAGTTTTTGGTCAGGATTCCTCTGAAAAAGCTCATAACAAATTTATAAAATATATTCTTGGTGTAAACAGAAAGTCCAGTAACATAGCTGTGATGTCAGAGCTTGGTAGATTTCCTATTTATTTTACTATAATTTTATCAATGTTAAAATATTGTCATAGACTGGAAGGTTTGAAAGGAGGATTAGTATTTGATGCATTCATATGTTGTAAACAATTACATATTTCTAATGTAAATACATGGTACTCTAGTATAGATTATATTCACAGAGAGATTGATTTACCAAATTTTGACCAATCAATTGGTTCTTTATGTCAGTATGTTAAAAATAAACTATGTGAAAGTTATTTAACATTTTGGAATAGGCTGAAGTATCAAACAATTAACTCTGAAAAAGGGAAGCTTGGTACTTATTTTTCTATAAAAAATTGTTTTAAAAAAGAAAAATATTTAGAACTTCAGGATTTTAAAAAAAGACAGTCAATTTGTAAATTAAGAATAAGTGCTCACTCTTTAAAAATTGAGACAGGCAGATATTCAAAAAAATATATAGAAAGATCTGAGCGTCTTTGTTCAAATTGCTCACTTGGTAAAGTTGAAGATGAGCTTCATTTTTTGTTAGAATGTCCTCTTTATGATACTCAAAGGGAAGACTTTTTTCAATACATATCTGACAGTTGTTATAATTTTAAAATTTAAATAAATCTTCTAAATTTTTATGGCTCTTGACTCAAGAAAATGTAACTCTTATGGAAAAACTGGGCTGTTATATTTGTGACTGTTTTGAATTAAGGAGATCAGGTATGCATATTGACACTAAGTCAAGTAAATGATTTGAGAATGAATGCATATAATGTAATTTTATTCTTTTATTCACGATATATATGTGGTTTTTGGCTCTGATTCTGACCAATGCTAATATACTAAATATATATTTTCAAGTGACTATTATTGTTGTTGTTACCAATTATGTAAATCAATTGTATCTGATTTTATGCCCTTTATGGGTACTGTAATTTGGGAAATAAAAATATTCTATTCTATTCTATACTATTAAATGAGAAGACCTCATTTTGTGTGTCGCTTCTCTACTTTCCACAATAAATTAATCATCATGCCTCTGTGTCCTATAGGTACCATGCATAGTCGGGTGTGTTCTAGTATCTATAATAGCCGAATCTCCTGAAGATTTGTAAACACACACGTGATTATTTCAATCCAGTCGCTCATTGTTACGTACATTTTATACGTGAAAACATAAGAAAACTTTTAGGAAAATGTTTTTTTCTTAGGTTATATCTATTTATACTCAGTAAGATAATCTAAAGGTAAGACAAACATTTTAAAACGGAGATATCAAATAATTTCTTTTCGATTAATATTAATTTACACGAGAATTTTTATCTCAGGGGCGGGGGCGGCGGTACTTCGACCTTTCTATGGCAGGGGTGAGCAGCTGAGACATCCAATACCCCACCCTTTTTATATATATATATATATATATATATATATATATTGAATAATAAAAGAACATACATGTAGTTACCCTAGTTATCATATATTTTTTACAATAAGTATATATACCTGCACATAGCTATCATTGTTACGCTATTTCATGGGGAGATACTAGTAAATAGATTTGACAAATATCTTAAACATTTACGAAAGTGAGTTTAGAGACATATATACACAATCTCTGGTGATTCTAATTGCATCTGTAAAAAAAATATCGACATCTGATTAGTTTCAGAATCAATCATCAACCTTGTCTTATGTTTCCCTAAATTTCTCGACCTCATGTAATATCATGAAGCTTCAAATAGTGATCTATCCCAGCGACTCATCCCTTCCACTCATTACATAATAAGTGCCCCCGCACACACCCCAAGATCGTTGGGCTAAGTTGGATGTTGTCTAGATCTACCTAGCTAGCTCTTCCTAGCAAGATAGCAGACGTTGAAGAACAGAAGACTAAAAATATATCTAAAAGGAATATAAGAAGAACAAAAAACTACTCTCAGACGATAAAAGCAATAATACATGTATGCTAACATATTTTAAGCAATGTTTAATTTCTATGAATGATTTTTAAGGAGATGTGAAGTATACATAATTAATTTAGACAGTAACCCAAATAAGCAACAAACAAAACGTGACAATTTACTTCTAAAGTTGAATCTACGGTCTTCTTCAATGGACATGTCATTACAATATTTATAAAAAGTATGTATAAATACAAGTCTAGTAACTATAATATATAGAATAGTTGTGAATAGGTGAGCCAAAATTTGTTCCTGTGAAAAAAGTTCCAGTGGAACAAATATCACAGGAAATATATTCTGGGAGAAATTTTTTCTCAGATAATTTCTATATGATTTGTTCCATCTCTATACAATAAGTTCCACAATTTACCTGGTGAAATAAGTTCTGGGTTTGTGAAATTTGTTCCTTACCTAGTGAAAAAAGTTCCGGTTTAGTGAGATTTGTTCCTTACCTGGTGATATAAGTTCCTTGTCTGTGAAATATGTTCCACTAGTTATACAAGTTATCTTTAATACTGAGCATTGTTATCAGTGAGTTTAAAGTTATAATTCAAGTACATAATAAAAAAGTATTAAATCGATAATGTAATAAATCAAAGGTGTAAACATCCAATATGGATTCTGTGGAGTATAGCAAAACGTTTAATTACATTATCCATAAAAAAATACCCAAATGACAATAATTTTATGAGTCAGAAAAGCGAAGAATAAGAAAAATCCATTAGAAAATTTTTATAGATCAATCATTTATTTATGAATATTTCAATTCAACATATGTTACTTCATATCAGAATTTGTAGAAAAAATGAAATATTGTGATTGAAATATTTATCACAGTTGTTAATCATAGTTGTGCATTTGCTTTTTAATCATATTATCAAAGTACAATATACATGATATATATGCTGACGTAATTTGAATTTCTAAAAGATTTACCTTATTTTGAATGTTTTCGTGTTGTTTAAAGACTTCAATGTTGAGTATTAAATTTGTCAGGTACAACTATTCGATGTTTTGCTTGGTATAAAGTTAATGCATCATGTTAATCTATAGCACCCGGAACTTATTTAACATTTAGTAAGCAAATTAGTTCCAGAACAAATTTTACAGTGCTGGAACATATTTCCTTATAATATATATTCCGGGTATAAATTTTCTTTGATATAAATTCCGGTGGAACATATTTCCTATGAAATAAGTTCCGGCGGAACAAATGTCACGCCGGAACAATTTGTTTGTTACAAAAAATAATTCAGATATTACTTGAAGCTATGAGCAGAGTCAGGAACAAACTTCTAATGTTTGTTTTGGGGTTCATTGACTATTTATACTAGACATGCTATATGAGATAAAGAGAAATAAAAGAAAATTATAAATTTAAAAGACGAAAATACTGTTGGCATTTTAAAAGATTATTCTTAATTGTATGTTTTCTACAAGAATTGTAAAACAAGTAGAAACAAACATATACTATGATCATAAAACAAAAAGACATTTATATGTCAACATGCGAACTGTATCCATACAAAAGATTATGTCAATCCAGTATGTCAAGCTTTTAAGGGTAAGTATGATAAGGGCCTTATTCGTCATCCAACATTAAATGGTATAGTGAATAAATATGAAGATATTTACAAGTAAAACAATAACAAAAGATACAGTATCAAGCTGTATGCTTAATAAAGTTTTTGGTCAAATTTGTTGATTCTCTAATGTTGATGGCCTCATAGTGAACTTAAAATAGCTTTGCAGAACTTATTGCCTTCTTTATAACCAACGACGTCCATTATAATTTGAAAAAGAATGGCGGCGAAACTACTATGTTTTGAATTTCAGGCGCTTACAATAGGTCTTATATAACAAATTACCCGTCTCGACTGTGAGTATTTTTCATCAAAAAATATAATCAAGAAGTCCAATAAAACCAAATAATCTGATAAAAGAAACATTTAATTGTAAGGATACTCATTATTCAATTATAGAAAAGGTGGCGTGGGGGCATTCCACATTGCAGTCCAACTACAATGAAAAGACAAAATCTTCATCGACAACAAAACTAACCATACATATATGTGAAGCTTTACATTTTAAGGATCATTTTTGAAAAGATGTGAGATACCATTGGAAATATATTAATTGTGTTCTTATATGTTTAAATTTTACTACGTTTCAACCTCTACACTTTTTGATGCCTATTATGAACGAAAAACTTTCAGGTGGAAGCGGCCATACTTTTCTAACACAAATAAATAAGCAAAAAACCAAAGAAAAAGTCAACGAACAACTCCGATATCTGTTTGAAAAAAAATAATCGATAAATAGACATTACCCCTCCATTTCCAGTGTTAATACTTTCCCCAAAAGAAATTGGTAAATCTAAAAAATTGTATAAGCCTTTTATAATTTCTGTAATCCACTACAATTTACATACAATTCTGAACGAATTAAACTACAGAGAGAAAACATTACCCACTTTTATCAGCTATGAGACGGCTAGCTTTTTAGAAAAGCTATTACTTGTTACTAATAAGCCTTCAAATAGATAAAGTGAACAATTATTTGGCAAACGCATTGTATCATTAACTATTGCGGTTTCTTTGGAATAAAGATAACAAATAAAATTCATAAGTAAGAATATGACCTTGACCTTTGACCTAGACCTCAATTTCCTCCAAACGGACCAAGGACTTTATATCAAAAGACTTTAGGTCTCTATGACTTATGGTGTATGAATTTATTCAACATATAACTTATGTTAAATTTTCAAACGGAAATAACTCCCATAAGATGTGATCAATTCACTTCGGTTAAACTAAACCAAAACATTCTTAAGAGTAGACGAACAATTTGGTGAAAAAAGTTTGTTGATATCTTTTACGGTTTCAGAGAAATAAAGATAACAAGAAAAAATGAACGCGGGGAGATAACTCCTATAAGAATAACTGTTCGGTTACACAGGGTGAATGGAGAAATCCCCATCACTGTACGACATCATTGGCCAAATATCTTTTCGATATGTCTTAAAACAAAAAAGCATCTCAGACGGCAGGAGAAAAAAAAATAATTAGAACAAAAGCAAAAGGTCTTTCCACGAAAAGTGGAAAAACCTAATGACAATGATACATAAATTAACAAAGGACTACTAGCAGTAACTGATATGCCAGCTCCAGACCTCAATTAAACTGATTGAAAGATTATGTCTTCGTCATATAAAAATCAAACACAATCAATCCCAACCGTTAGGGGGTTTAGTATCATACCACCATAAACTATATGAGAAGAACATATGCCAACAACTGGTTTTACAATAAATGTGTTTATTTCCGATGCAAAGACCCTATGAGTGAATCAATATTAATACCAAAATATGCCATCTTTAATGACCTGACAACAGTATCGTAACTATATCCCTTCTGAATAAGTCTGTTTAAAGGTTTGGTTAGCTTTTGAGCGGAATGTCGACATTTTTGTGCTTTGTATAGAATATTACCATAAAAGATTGGATGTGAAATACCTGAACGTATAAGATGTCTGCATGTTGATTTATATTTACGAATGATGTCCTTGTACCGGTGATAAAATTTAGTAAATGTTTTGACTAGTTTGTGATATCGAAAACCCTGGTGCAATAATTTTTCGGAAATACAGAGGTTTCTTTCGTTAAAATCAAATACGTTCTTACATACACAAGCGAATCGAACAAGGGAACGTCACCATCTAAAAATGGATAATTAACAATAGGAAATGAAAAATCATCTCTTTTATCATAAATGTTGGTATTAAGCTTCCCGTTAAAGATATAGATATCAAGATCCAGGAAAGGGCAGTGTTCATTGTTAGTTTTAGTTTTATTTAAAGTCAGTTCAGCAGGACAAATCTCTTTAGTGTTCATACTAAAGTCGTCGTTATTGAGAATGTACATTATGGAAAAAGATTTTTACAACAAAAAAAGCAACAACAAAAAAAATGGGGATAGTGTCCACATGTGGACACAGATGATGCGCCCGCTTCCATAGCATATAGTTATAAAGGGACATAACTAAAGAACGGTAAACGTGACGCTACCCAAATTTGAACTTGATCTGAGTTTTGTGATAATAAGGATTGTGTGTAAGTCTCATAACATTTGGTTGAGGCTAACTTAAGTACAGAACAGAAACTAAAAAATCAGCATTTTTTCTATTTGTAAACACGCATAACTCTAGAACGGTTGTGAATAAGTTTTATAACATTTGGTTGAGACAAACTAAAGTTAGAGAACCGAAACGAAAAATTCAGCAATTTTTATGTTTATAAAGGGAAATAACTCAAGAATGGTAAAAGTATTCTCACCAAATTTCGTACGTAATCTGTATCATGTAGTAATAAGCATTGTGTATAAGTTTCATAACATTTGGTTGAGGCAAACTAAAGTAAGAAAACGGAAACAAAAAAATTGTACTTGATCTTAGTTTTGTGGTAATGAATATTGTGTATAGGTTTCATAATGTTTGGTTGGGGCAAACTTAAGTTACAGAATGGAAACTAAATATTTTGCAATCTTTCGATTTAAAAAGGGGCATAACTCAATAATGGTTAAAGTGACACTACCCAAATTCAACTTGATCTGTGTTTTATCAGTGGGAGTCAAAATTAAACATTGCATTTTATAAAGCATTGTTTGTAGTTGATTCAACTATAATCATGGACAAAGGAAGATAACTCCAATTTTAAAAGTTACTTGATATTAAGAAGAAAATAAAATTTTTTGCAATTTTTCCATTTATAAAGGGGCATACCTCTAGAACGGTTAAAGTGACTCCAGCAAAATTCAAACTTGATCTGTGTTTTGTGGTAATAGGCATTGTGTATAAGTTTCATAACATTTGGTTGAGGCAAAGTTAAGTTAGAGAACGGAAACTAAAAATTTAGCAATTTTTCCATTTTTAAACGGGCATAACTCTAGAACGGTTAAAGTGACGCCACTAAAATTCTAAAATTCAAACTTGATCTGTGTTTTGTGGTAATAAGCATTGTGTATAAGTTTCATAACATTTGGTTGAGGCAAACTCGAGTTAGAGAACGGAAACAGAAATTTTGGGACGTACGAACGGACGGACAAGGGTAAAACTTAATGCCCCCACCGCTACGGCGGGGGCATAAAAAAACAATTGAAACGCGCATCTCATCCACCATTTCTATTATGTTCCGTTCTAGGCCAAATCAGAATAAATATTTGATAATTGGTTTCGCATTTTTTTTTTTTAATAAGTACATGAAAGAGAGCGGAACATTATCATGATTATAGATTTGGGAAATTTTTGTAATATTTGAAAAGTCAGTCAAATGCACTGGAACCTCTTACAATGATTATGCTTAAATAAATTGTTAATCTGCTGTTGAATTTTTGTTTCGATATAAGCACAATAAAACAAGTAATATTGTGATAAAAAGAATCGTGGTGTTCGCGCTGTATGAGTAGTTACGGAAAAATGTTAATTTGTCTCATTAGGGTGTATATAGTACAATAAATCTTTGTCAAGCATGTACGAGTATATCAGATTAGGAAA